AAATTTCAGACAGTTGCAGACCTTACATTTCTAGTATATGCAGGGCTGTATGACTTTAATCTAATGGGAACCAGGGAAGCTTCTTCCTTTTTCTTATCTGTTGTGTAATTTTCTTTAATGAGGCAGACGTACATGGTGTGCGTGGGGCAGAAATAGAAGCCTGTGCTTTGAGGTTTTGCCGAGTCATTTTGACCTTGGTGAAGGATAAAGTATAGCTTCCCTAGAAGCCCAGAGCAGGGCCTACCAACACTGCAAGCTGAGAATTTCCTTTCTCAATATGAACTCAAAGTGCTCAACAATGAAGAGTCATATTAGGAAGGGTACTAAGAGAGGCCTTCAGTCACATTTATGTTCCAAATGGATGACGTGATTATTTCTCCTGTCTAGCCATGGTGGATGACGAGGTTAATAATGCCACCTACCCCATCTTCCTCTGAAGCCTGGTGTCATGTCAAGTTTCTCTATTCTCATAGATGAAAGTACCAAGAAGGCATAATTTCTCAGGGCAGAGACCAACATATCTCACTTAGCAGAAGAATTCTTACTTCTCTTCCTGTCACTGCTCCTTTGGGGACTAGAAAGAACCAGCACATGTGGATATATTATATCAAGATTAATGGGAATTGAACAAGTACGTACTTTTCCAGTTGAAGTAAACCTTGTTAAAATGTTATTGCCAAGCATTTTGATCGAAGTGGCAGGAATTTCCAAGAGTGTCCTGATGGGAGAGAATTATCTTTCTAAAGTTCACTTCTCTGAACATCACACTGCTTTAATTGGCCCACAGAGTAAAAATATGTCTTCAAGCTTCACTATTAGCTTACTTGACCTGGCAGGATTTTGCCCTGCTGAACTTACCTCTATCGTGTCACAAAATCTTCTAAACATACAAAATATTTTCCATCAGTTTACTAAAATTTCCAAAACTCTATACTTTTTACAACTTGTTTATCTTTACTTTGACTTTTTTCTAGAAGCCTAGCAAGTGAGTGCTCATTCATCTGGAATTCAGAGAGGTATAACACAACTGGAAGCATATTTTCACTCATGTATGTTTTAGGATACATCCCTCCTCCATATTTCACATACATAAACAATACAGGTTAAGTGTATTCCTACTCTTAGACCTATCCTTATGTTTTGTGATATTGTAATTTTTTTGCTGTGTGTCTTAAAAAATTGGGAATTTCTAAAGAGCAGGAATACATTTTTTTTTTCAACTTTGAAAATACTTAGAGATACCTAGCACCAAAAGTTTAGATACGCACTTTGGAGAATTTATTTTTGTTCCTATTATATAATTTCACCTCAAATATTTTATTAAAGTTAAAAGCATTTTTAGACAAGTTGTAATCTTCTTTGTTAACCCACTCAGTTAAATACCCTTCCATCTTTCAATATGGCCTAATGTATCCTGGATTTAGTGTATCATTCCAGATGTTTATTGCCTTTACATAAACACACACACACACACACACACACACACACACACATACAAGTAAACTTCAAGTTCTCTAAGTTCTGTAAGTAAACTTTGTCCACAGATGCACAGAGTCATGTAGAAGAATGTTCTATATGGATAAACATACATGAAAACAAGTGTTTGGAAGATGGACTGGAATTACGCACACTGAACACACAAAAAAACGGGTGGCAATGAAACAAGGTCAATGCAACATGTTAGGAAACAATGAAGAATAATTCATAATGTAATAAAAGGAGGAACATTATATAAAATAATAATTCTATGATGCAGTGCATTGTGGGGTAAAATCACCTCCTGATTTTATGCTGTAACCACTACGCTCCTGATTTCTTTCTCTAACCACACCTAAAACACAAAGATTTAATTTGTCTAGATGTTTTGATTCTGACAAATCTAAGATTATAAAAAAAAAAAAATTAGATATGCCAGACTTTACATTTCATGCATGTTAGATACAATTCCAAAAATATTTTCAAATTAATATTATATAGTGTTGTTTACAGCAAAAATGCTCTATAAAATATAACAACGCATCAATATAACTAGGAAGAATTAAAACGTGAAAGGGTGATTAAAACACATGCGCAAAGACTGATGGGTAGGAAAACAAGGACATTAGCATTTAGGGCCGTTCAGTATTTCAGCTGTCTGTTTTAACAATATGCAAATATATAGCAGTAATTTTACCATTTTTCTCAAAGGAAAACGGTCCTACTTTGTATTCTTAATAAACACAAACTCATTTTCTCTTACCCTTGAAACAAGAGTGTGCTAATCTCAGTCATCATCATTATCATCATAATAATCCTTTTACATTCCTGTGGAGTCTACAGGGTGCACTCGGTTGAGAGAAGGTGTGCTTGTAGAGAAGTGTGAAATTAGAGAGCATTAAAAACACATGACCAATACCCTTAAGCATTTCTTTCCTGGACTAGATAAAACAGAAGCAAACGTGTCAATATCATATAGCTGCTTTCTGCACAGTCTGTAATGAAGTTTTCGTACTCCTTCCTCCCTTACCTATTCCAGGGTCCCCCCCGTACTCAGTGAAACCAAACACGGATCAAAGTTCTAAGTTGCTAGACCTGCCATGAGTTACCGGAGAAATGACAAAAATCGCAAAACTGAGGTAACCTCAGAAAAGGTCTCTCCAGGATTGCTCATCCTAGAGTCCAGACAATGAGGGTCACGTTTGTGTCATGGGCACTTCATGGGACTCTGGTGTGCTGAGCCCATTACGCAGGCCATCTCATGTAACTCTGACTCCCACAGCAGCCATTAGAGACTGTTACTACTGTCATTTCCATTTTTTTATGAAACTAAAGTTTAGAGAAGTTAAGTACAATTGATCTGGTCATAGAACTGGTAACTAGTAACTACCAAGGTCAAAAGGACACTTGTCTATTTGCCTCCAGAGTAAACACTCTAAATTTTTACACCAAAATGAAGAACATGATGAGCGATGAAATTACTTATCAGTGTAAGCCGTATCAGAAGCCAGCGCTATAATAGTTTTTATTACAAAGGATGTGGTTTATTGGCTGCAATGTAATAAACAGAATGTAATAAACTCTAAGTCCATCATCTGCTACAATGCTCATTAATTACTGTATTGGTTATGCATAAATATCTTCAATGAAACAAATGAGAAACTCAGGAAAGCCAATTCTCCACAATATTTTCCTGAAAATGGAAACAGAAATAACTCTTAACTTATTCCAAAAGGGAAACAGTACCCTGATACCAAAACAATGCAGAGATATTACAACAAAAGTATAGATCAATATTTCTTATGAACATAGCTTTAAAATTGCTCAAAAAATATTAGCAAATTGAAACTAACAACACATAAAAAGAATTATACAGCACAACCAAGTTGGATTTTTCCAGATATTCAAATCTGGTTCAAAATTTGAATATCAATTAATGTAATTCATCATATCAACAGACTAGAGAAAACCCATATGACCATATCAATAGACGGAGAAAAAATATTTGACAGACATTAACAGCCATTAATGATGAAAACTCTCAGTAAAGTAGGAATGGATGGGACCTTCTTCAATTTGATAAAGAATATCTATACAAAAACTACATCTAACATCATACTTAATGCAGAGAAACTACATGCTTTTCGTACAAGTTCGGGAACCGCTCTGTGAAAGAAATTGCTAAGAGAATTAAAAGAACCCACAGACAGGGAGAAAATATTTCCAAGGCACACATCTAAAAGATTTGTATCCAAAATAATCAAAAAACATTTATAGGTCAACATTAGGGAAACAAAGCAAACATGAAAAAGTGGGCAAAAGATATTAACATGTTCCAGGGGTGCCTAGGTGTCTCAGTCCGTTGAGTGTCCGACTTCAGCTCAGGTCTATGCTCTGGTGTTCATGGGTTCAAACCCTACGCTGACAGCTTGGAGCCTGGAGCCTGCTTCAGATTCTGTGTCTCCCTCTCTCGCTGCCCCTCCCCTGCTCCCGCTTTGTTTCTCTCTGTCTCTCAAAAAATAAAATAAAACGTTAAAAAACTTTTAAAAAAGATTTAACATATTCCTTACCAAATATATGTGGATGGAAAATAAGCGTATGGAAAAATGTTCAGCATCATCTGTCATTAGGATATTACAAACTAAACTAAAATATCACTACATGCCTATCGGAATGGCTAGAAGCCGAAATACTGACAACACCAAATTCCAGCAAGGAATGTGGAGCAGGAGAACTCTGATTCACTGCTGACAGAAATATGAAACGGTACAGATATTTTAGAAAGCACTTTGGCAGTTTCTTACAATTCTAAATTTAGTCTTATCGTATGACCCCACACATCATTCCTAGGTATTTAGCCAAATGAATTAAAAATATACGTTTATATATTTTATATGTTTGTATATTATGTATAAACATGCCTATTAATATTTATAGCTGCTATATTCGCCGTTGCCAAAAAGTGGAAGCAGCTAAAATTCCCTTTGATGGGTAAATGAATAAACAAACTGGGTTGTATTCATACAATGGAATATTATTCAGTGATAAAAAGAAATGAGCTCTCATGCCACGACAAAACATGGAAGGACCTTAAATGTGCATTGCTATGGGAAAGCAGCTAGTGTGAAAGGGTTGCATATGGTATGATTCTAATTATATGGCATTCTAGAAAAGACTAACTGTGAAGACCGTAAAAAGCTATTGACAGGAGGGACAGTAGGAAGGATGAAGAGATGAAACCTTGGGGATTTTTAGGGCAGGGAAACTGTTCTATATGATACTGTAATGGTAGATACATGACATTATGCATTTCTAGACACCCACAGTGTAACACAAAGAATGAAACTTAATGAAATGGATTTTAGTTAAAAAATGATGCATAGAGGGGCGCCTGGGTGGCTCAGTCGGTTAAGCATCTGCCTTCGGCTCAGGTCATGATCTCACAGTCCTTGAGTTCAAGCCTCACATCAGGCTCTGCGCTGACAACTCAGAGCCTGGAGCCTGCTTCAGATTCTGTGACTTCTTCTCTCTCTGCCCCTCTCCCATGGTCTCTCTCTCTCTCTCTCAAAAGTAAAACAAACATTAAAAATTTTTTAAAAATAATGTATAGAAATACGTGAAGGGTATTAAGAGTACACTTTCCATGACCACTGACTAATGTACAGAATTGTTGAATCACTATATTATACACCTGAAATTAATATAACACTGTATATTAATTATACTGGAATTTAAGGATAATAAAAATAAATTAATTAAAATAAAAAAGAATAATGTATAAACATCAGTTCATCAGTTATAATAAATTAACCACACTAATGTGAGATATTAAGAATAGGGGAACTTTGTGGGGGTGAGAAGGGTCATACAGGAACTTCATGCTCAATTTTTCTACAAAATTAACACTGCTGCAAAAATTAAAAAAAATACTAAAAATGAAGAACTCATATTATGACATGATTAGTTAGTTAATTTTCTGAAAGCCATGTAGCAAGTTGGGGGAACACTACAATGCTATGTTCCCACCTGCTCCGTTAACCAAGGGCTAATAGCTAAGCATGAGCTTACTCAGGTTGAAGAGCTCCACCTTCCTCCATATTCTTGCTGCTTACTCTGACCAGTTCTTGGGGCCCATTCTTCTCTGGTTTTTTAGGGCAAAGCATCGCATGGTACTTCAATGATCCATGTTCATATATCGGAAGACTAGATCCCTGCTTAGTACAAGCACATAACATCAATTCTTTCAATTCCAGAATCCTCTATTGCTTTCACTAATTTTCCTACTGTACTAGAACTACTTCTCAAGGATATACAGTTGTGAGAGGACTCAGCCACTTGTCAGTATAATCTATTTGCTTGTTCCAATTTCCATGTATTGCTGGATCTTATATGCTTGTTTCCATGCTTGGGTCCACTGTCTGGAATTCCAAAGTATCCTGAAAATGTATAATTACCCTGAAAAAAATAGATTTATATTTATTTACATATAAATAAAATATATTTATATACAGTATATATAAATTTATATATAGTATATGTAAAGTATCCTGAAAATGTATGAGTATCCTGAAAAAAATATATACATAATATAATATATATAATAGAATAATATATAATATATAAAAAAGGATTTATATTTATTTACTTATAAATTTAATATATATTTATATGTAAATAAATAAATAAATATGTAAATATATGTAAATGTTTATGTATATAATATATATTTATATGTAAATAAATATATTAATATAAATTTATATGTAAATAAATATATTTATATATATGATTTATATATAATTTTCATGTATAATATATTTATATATAAATTCAATATATATTTATTTATATACAAATATTTACTTTATATTTTTAAAAAATTAATAATAAATATTAAATAAGTTTATTTATATATAAATATATAAATATATATTTAACTTATATATAAACTACATAATTTATATTTAATTTATATATATTACATGTATATATACATATATAATATTATACATATATGTGTATAATATATGTAATATTATACATATATATATAATATATGTAATATTATACATAATATATATATAATACATAAAGACTAGGAGCTGGTATAAGCTGGGGACAGCAGAAGGACTCCAGGACACCCAGTGCAGGTCCCACTGGGGATGTCAGCATGGAGGATACAACAAGTCCCACAAACCCTGCCCCCGCAAACAGTGCCCTCTGTCCTCTATGACATCTTGGCCTTCTAGTTTGCAACTGGTCTGGCCTGTTGGTTCCCTGAGCTCAAAAAGTAAGAAGGGTTCCAAGAGAATTGCCTAACACATGATCATTTTATTCATTTCCCTAGTTATTGAGTTCCTCATAGCGTCCGGGGTTCTAGAGGGGTCACCTCTTGCAACAGCCATCCTAACACCTAATGTTAGAGCTTCTAGGTCCCATCCTTCCCTTACCTCTGTGCACCAGGCTGCCTGCCATTTGCACAGTGCTATTTATCTGGGTCTGGATCTGGGCTCCAAAGTGGGCTATACTGTTTATAAATATTTGGGTCCTCATTATAAGCCAGTTGCTTTTTATAATTCAGCCCTGCTCCCTTGCATGACCTCTGAACTGGCTTCTCTTGGGGATTGGGGCCTTGGGGCTGGATTTGTCCATAGATGAGCATGAGCCTCAGTGCCAGCTGCCACTTGGGAAAGAGCTGGAAGTAGGAGTCAAGTCCCCAAGTTCCTCAGATCCCACACACCCTGCTCATTGGCTACATGGGTCTGGTCCCAGGATCCCAGGAGATGGCTCTTCCTGGGAATTCTCAATCCATGGAAGTCAGTGGACACTGGTGGAGGAAGCTCGGGCCTGGGCTGGGAATGCAGCACCCTCTCCCGACCCTCAGGTCCAGAGCTCGCCCTGGGCTCGAGGGGCCTTCTCAGCACTGTTGGCTTGCTGAAAGGAGATAAGGACACTAAGGACCCCGTAGTGCTGCTTTCCCCGAAAATTGTGTGGCTTTTATAACTTTCTAAATAAAAGTACAGAGAATAAAACTAGAGTTCGATTTTTGGTATGTGTTCAATTTTTTATTTTAATAAAAGTAGGCTATGCACAACGCATGCAGTGCTCGCGTCTGAACTAATACAAGAGGCAATTGCCAATGGCTACAGTGATTTGAGGTTCAGTCTTTACATTCAGCAAGGTTTTTTTTTTAATTTATTTTTTTAATGTTTATTTATTTTTGAGAGAGAAAGAGACAGAGTGTGAGTGGGGGAGGGGCAGAGAGAGAAGGAGACACAGAAACTGAAGCAGGCTCCAGGCTCCGAGCTGTCAGCACAGAGCCCGATGCAGGGCTCAAACCCACTAACTGCCAAATCATTACCTGAACCGATGTTGGTCGTTCAACAAACTGAGCCGCACTACCCAGGCTCCCATACATTCAGCAAGTTTAAATCCATTATGTGTTTTTTGACACCTTATTTGCGAACAGAAAATACTACTTGCTGATAAATTGTTAAGATCCACTCAATTTAATTAATATTTGAGAGGCACTAAAACTCCCATCTCTCTCTTTCTATACACACACACACACACACACACACACGTGCACACAAACACACATACACACACATGAAGATAGAAAATGATAGGTATTAGATGAGAGGCTGATAGAAACAGATTATTGCTATGTTGCCACTCTTGATATGGTTTTCCTATTTTTATAGACTTAGCATATTGTTAGTTTCAGGTAGCTCCAATTAGTAGAAAAAAAAATTGGGGTGGAGAAGGTAAGAGCAAATAGAACTTCCCCTCCACTCCCCAGAACACCTCCAAAGGTCATGCAATGTACAAGTGACACAACATGGACATTCACAGGGAAACTTAATAGTTGAATCATGTGTGTTGAATTATGATATTGGGGAAACTTACAGGACACACAGTTGGATAAGAGAAGATTTTAGGATGTTAAGGACCTGTGACACCATGTTGGAAACACTTACACTGAAGATTAGAGAAGAGGAACGTGGCACTCTTTGAAACACAAGGTTTCACTGGGGAAAGAGAACTTGGAATGATCCCTAAATATGATAAAGAAGTAAGTTTTAACAATGTGGACTACCAAAATGTAAGAACTTTGGTGTAAATCCAATAGACAATTGAAGTTTTAATTTAGAAAAACAGCTGTTTATAAAAAGTAAATCTTTATCAGATTTGCACAATAATGACTGAATATTGTCAACTGTCCATAACATCAGTCCATAAATTAGGAGGACGCTGGAAAATGTTCAAACGGAATTTGTTGTGGAAAACAGTGTTTGAATTTAGGGAAAAGGAAATTATCAGATGGTGAGGATTTGGACTTCCCCTTGTGTTTTTGTTTTCACTCCTAATCTTTACTGATATTTTCAGAGAATAAAATTATAAAAGTTGAAATTCAAATACATAACCAAAACCAAAAATTTTAAAGGAAGATATTTAATATGCATTGATTCATTATTACTTTTCAATTACTTTTGTGTCATACAAATTCCAAGGTACAACAAGTATATGAAAATTGAGTAGATGAATAAAATCTATCCATAGTGTTAGCATGAGAAAACTCACATAGGAGCTTGGAAAACAAAGAACAATTGAAATAGACGCAACTCAGAAAAACACCTTCTTGGGAAGATGTTGCTCCTGAAAATCAGACACCAATATTCCCTCTCCTTCAATATCCATGTTGAGTATACCATGATATCTGATTTTGTTAATATTATGTTATACATCTTTAAACCATGTAAAAATGGTCTTTTTAGCAAGCTCAGGACTGATTGTCTCTCTGCGTTGTATTTCCAAGGAGAGAATATATTCGCCAGGTCACTATAAAAATGGTTACCTGCCAATCTTTTCAACTTTTAATTGAAAAGCTCATCGATTGACAGAAGTTTATATCGTTTTATTTAATGGAATTTCAACATCATGAATCATGGATTCACTGGAATGCAGTGAATTCACTTACTATATTTTAGAAGACCACAAGACAAGTAGCCCAGATAGTATTACTCCTGGTAACTCACCTAAAACATTGTTTCTAAATTTCTACAAAACCCATTGCGTATATCTGATGGATAGTTTGGATTGGCAGGCCATGGTACACAATAAATGGAGAATTGTTCCAAAGCAATTGAATCCAAATCCATGTAACTTCACGAGGAAAGGGCATTAATCAACTGAATTGACTATAGAATATATTTCGTCAAGTTCTAATAAAATCACTACAATATCAGATGCAACATGAAACACACAGTCCATCATCCATTCAAGTTCACTAATATAAAATCCCACATAGAGCTGTAGATATGATCAATAATGCCTGCAGAGCCTGGGATGGAGAATATTAAATCTAATGTTATTCTCTAGATTACAGGTCTTGATGACACACTTGGGAAATGTGTTTTATTTAATATTAATAATTCCCTCAAATATTTGCTCTTTCAGGGACATATTACTTTTGCAGTTTTATCAGACTATTCAGGGAGAAAAATATATTAAGATTAAAGATATGCTGGAAGTAATAACATTTTCATAAATCTGATTTATAAATCTCATAAAACCTGGAAATACACCCTTAGTTTTTGCCATATCATTTATAGATAGCTATGTTATTTTGAACGAAAATTGTATAGTCTCATTCATCCCTAATGTTGTTGTTGTTGTTGTTGTTGTTGTTGTTGTTTTTAATCAACCGTTTTGAGTAGTAAAATTTTATGTTTCTAGATGGCTCCATTAGTATCTAATGTGCCTCTGAAAGTCTATTTCAAATATTAGGATTTGGCATTTTCTGAAATTCACTTGTGCCTTTTAAACGTTGAAACTTAAAATTATACATGTTTCTGTAGAACGGCACCAAATCCTAGAGGAGAAAATGGTGAGCAGTAGAGTTGAAGATTTTGTCATTGTTCAGAAATCAGTCTTGATGTTTCTTACTGCTCAAGGCCCTTTGCTGGATACGGGAGACATCCCACATAAGCGTTCTGAACCTGAGCTATCGCCTTATGTGGACCACTTGGTATGAACACAGTCCGTGCCCACCAGTGTGCTGTAAATCCCATTGGCCAATGACCTCATGGAGGTGCTGATTTTGTGCTTTTCATAAACTAACCTTTATTAGGAATGATACTCTTGGGGCGCCTGGGTGGCTGAGTCGGTTGAGCGTCCAGGGTCGGCTCAGGTCATGATCTCGCGGTCCGTGAGGTCGAGCCCCGCGTCGGGCTCTGTGCTGACAGCTCCGAGCCTGGAGCCTGTTTCAGATTCTGTGTCTCCCTCTCTCCGACCCTCCCCCATTCATGCTCTGTCTCTCCCTGTCTCAAAAATAAATAAAACGTTAAAAAAAATTAAAAAAAAAAAAAGAATGCCACGTATTGTTATAGGGCCCAGGGATGCAAAGTGACTAAGAGAGACTGATTCTCTTCTCTCAAAGAACGGAGAGTTTGGTGGCACAGATTGTCATGCCTTAACACAAAAACAAAAACAAGGACAAAAGCAGAGCTTGTCAGCAATAAAGGCAAACATACTAAGAATAAAATCAGGGCAAAATTCTATTTTCTTCCTAGACATAAACAAGCAGAAAAAATAAACATACAAAAAGGCCCCCGTGAACTGGTAAAAAGGGAATATTCTGAGACTAAAATATCATCCACGGGATCAAAAATACGATGTCCAACTTAAAACATAAAAATAAAGAAAAAAAAAAAAAAAAAAAAAAAAAAGAAAAGGAGATAAACTTCTATATAAAGAAATCTGTGAAATAAAAAGTATCCTCTCTGTAATAAATAAAATTCAAACTGTGCAAGAAGAACATAAAGTTTTGAAGATAAGTAATGAATCTCTTCCTCATGTAAGAAAGAAATTATCGGAGTAAAGAATGGATTATTAGAAACAGTAGAAGTAGCAAGATAAATACGAGAAACAGGTATTCTTCTCTGAAGGCTCTAGATTTTCAAATTAACTCACCTAAAAGCTCCACCAGTAGTGAGTAAAACCCAAACCTACGAAATTTCAAACTTACCCCAAAGAGAGGTTCCAGACGTACTCAGGCATAAATCAACAAATACGGTTTAAAATCAGAAGATTTAAGGTTTCTTAATCTTAAGAAGAAGATTAATCTTAATCTGAAGAAGACTTTCAGATTTTTATTTTAAAACCCTAGATGATTAAATATAATGAAACATATACAGTTTTGTGTAGAGCATCTTATTACTAAATAAGTAAGAGAAAAAAACTATATATCTAATGCTCTTAGAAAAGAAGTCGGCTCACATACCCACATATTTCTGTATCTGAACTAGCTGCCTGATGAGCCAACTGGAACTCACAACTAGAGATGTAATCAGTCAGGAAACACATCAGGTAACAGAATGGGGTTCAATCCAAGCAAATATGTAACACACTTTCTAACAGTGTAAAAGTCACAAATAACCGAATATTCATAAACTAATATGTGACCGTAACATTGCAATATAGATTTAAAAGCTAAATTATACTTTTTAAGTGAACATCGTGGAAGAAAGGAAGGAGAAGGCAAAAGCAAATTAAAATTTTATTTTGTGCGTGTGAAGTTCACAGGTACTGTTGTCTCCTACACGCTAGTAACTAGAGAGCAATAGTTGGACGTATGACATAAAGAGCAGGTGGAATAAAGCCACAACATAGTCGATTCAAATCATAGGAAAAGAGAATGAAGGACAAGTGGAAGTTCTCGTCTAGGCGATGTCTGACAGGCCTGTAGCTTAAATGCAGAAGACACCACAGGAAAAGGATACCAGCACCGTTTTCCTCATGCGGCCATCTGTGGGCTACACCTGCCTATAAGTACATGCTGTGTGTAGATTAGTCTGCTATTTAAGAAGTCATTATAGGGGCACCTGGGTGGCTCAGTCGGCGAAGCATCCGACTTTGGCTCAGGTCATGATCTCACGGTCTGTGAGTTCGAGCCCCGTGTCGGGCTCTGTGCTGACAGCTCAGAGCCTGGAGCCTGCTTCAGATTCTGCATCTCCCCCACTCTCAGCCCCTCCCCTACTCGTGCTCTGTCTCTCTCTGTCTCTCAAAAATAAATAAATGTAAAAAAAAATTTTTAAAAAAGAGTCATTATATACACTTGGACCATGCAAGAACATGGCAAAAAGTAATAATAAGAGGTAAAGTTCTTAGATCTGCAATATTTGCGTTCAGCATGGCATAAATAAGATGACTGAGAAAGTCAGCAGAAGTTTCTTTTTTTTTTTAATGTTTATTCATTTTTGAGAGAGAGAGAGAGGGAAAGAGAGAGAGAGACAGAGTGTGAGAAGGGGAAGGGCAGAGAGAGAGGGACACAGAATCCCAAGCAGGCTCAAGGCCCTGCACTGTCAGCACAGAGTCCAACATGGGACTCAAACTCACAAAATGTGAGATCATGACCTGAACCGAAGTCAGACGCTTAATTCACTGAGTCACCCAGGTGCCCCGATGCTTATTTATTTTTGAGAGAGAGACAAAGTGTAGGCAGGAGAGGGGTCGAGAGAGAGGGAGACACAGAATCTGAAGCAGGCTCCAGGCTCTGAGCTGTCAGCACAGAGCGCGACGCGGGGCTCAAACCCACGAACCATGAGATAGTGATCTGATGCAAAGTCAGATGCTTCACCCACTGAGCCACCCAGGAACCCCAGCAGAAGCTTTCTTAAGCATGGTATGCACCTCTGGAACTTAGTGCCACCTCTGAACCATGTGTCCCCTAGCTGTCCTCTAAATTAATACCTCTGCGCCTATGATCTGATTAATCCTAAAGTTAGCAAATGGCTAAATGTTCAGTCACGAGATATGTATGTGAGTCTGACCTTCAGGGTATAATTAAGGCCTGTTCTGCATCCAACTATCCATAAATAAATAAATAAATAAATAAAGGAAGGAAGAAAAAGAAAAGAAAAAGCAAATGCAATGAAATGCAGAACGATTTAAAAGCCACACATGGATATCCTAATATATAAATTTTGCTATTAGCCGAAAGCAGAACTTCTCCTACTAAAAAGTATGGTGTCGGTTGTCGTCCACAAATAATGTTAAGAGCATATAAAGGTGTCTAATATAAAATTAAGGAAGAAAACAGTCGTACATAATTGAGTGAAAAAATGTATTATAAGACTTCTGAACATTCTGGTGCTGGGATTATAAAAAATTAGATATTATTTTCTAATATGAAAGATTTTATGTATATACATTATATATGTGAAGATTACAGCTATATGTATGATTATATATATATATGTATTACATATATATATAACTCTTTGTTAAAAAAATATCCTTGTCGAGACTAGTAGGCTCTAATATGGCAACGATCCCCAGTGAGATTCACTGACTTGTTCAAACTAGAATCTCCCTATGACCTTTTCTGATGAGTCCTATTCAGTCTAGACAGCCCCCAATCCATTCTAGACAACTCCAATTACATTCTGCAGGTCGTCAGATGGCTGTAGCAAACGAAAGACAATTACTATATACCCACAGATCTTCAGGTATCAATCTTGAGAAGAATGATGTTTTAGGAGACATGTCACAAGAAATATATGCAAGGTGGTATTTTTTTTTCACTGTAACTTCACACAACCCTTGAAAATCTATCAGTGAAAGCAGGACAGTGCGTAAGGCTTAGTACCTTAAGATAGGAGCTCTTTTCACTAGAACTTCTCACGTTTCAAATTAAGCACTACAGACCAGCTAGAATGTACATTTTTCTCGCTGTTCTGGCTTTGTCAAGTGGCCACGGCTAGAGTCTGCTCCTCCTTTCATCCTGCCCCCGGCCGGCATACAAAGGAGTATGCTCAGATTTCACAAAAACCATGTGGATCTGTCAGGCCATTGATGTCACAGTTGTCTCCACTAACATCCCTCCACGTTAGCTGAGTGAGGAGAAATCATCAGAGCTCAATTAAGATTTTCTAGGTATTTACCTGGTGCAGGCTGGGCTGATTTTTTTGTATGGTAGCAATCTCCAGAAAAAGTTGCATTCAGTTTCCCATCACTCTTTGATTTCATCTTGCTGTATAATGTTTGACTGTTCTCCTCACCAGAAGATACAGCCACACCTTTTCTCTCCCAGGCCCAGCAGCAAGAGGTAAGAAGGAGTTAAGGAAAGAGCTCACACCCAGCCAAAAGCAGTAGGTGGGGGTGGGATTTGGGTAGTGGATATCTTAATCCGACCAAAGTTTAAATAAGGTCTAATAAACCCTGTGATTTCAGACAAGTTACTGAAACATTTTGGGGTCAATCTCCTTATCAATGAAATGCAATAGAAGTATAGCAGCTTCAGTTAATGACCTGTCCATATTCCCTTGAATGACCCGAAGAGTCATCTCAGAAGTTGATGCATATGCCTTTGTGTTTCTCAAAGAACTTTCTCTGACTTGCAAAGCTGCTCAGCCTCTCTGCAGGGCAGGCTGAAAGTGGCCCAAAAGTTAATGCACCAGGAACAGATCTCAAACAATGAGAGATAGTTATTGGTAAGTGAATAACTTCATTTACTGTTGAGGCTCCTCAAGTGGCCTCTCAGTAGGGTTCAACACCAAGTGCCCATGGAGATAACGCTCCGTGCTGCATGACTGACCCACTTTCCAACCATCCTTGTTTTTCTCCTCTGTTTCCTAAGTGCTTCCTGGGATCACCTGTTGTATCAACTACTACAGCTAACTTTTTTCCCAGGGCTTGCACGGGGAAGGGGAGGATCAAAACTAATATACCAGAGAGTAAACCTAGTGTTCCCGAGGACCCAATAGATGGCACTCATATAAACTGTGCAGCACAGAGCTTGATTCAGAATAGGATTTTAACGAACACTACTTTCCTTCATCCTTACCTACAACTTTACCCACAGTGTACGTTGGATACCCTTGTTTTCCTGCCAGAGTTTAAAACGAAATGAAAACAAACAAAGCAAAAACAAAAACAAATGAGTCAAGAAGATGGCGACTAAAAAGTGAGCTCCATTACTGTTAGAGTTGCTGTAATCGTGGTTTAGGTCTGTAGCCACAGATAAGTCTCAAAACGGAAACCTAGAATTAGGCCCACTTACCCACCTTATTATAGAGAGTGCTGAAAATGGAAGGCCTTCAATCCAGGGCTCAAGTTTGGTGAATCCAAATGTCGACTAATGCGGGAGAACAAGAGGGGCAAGGGTATGTCTTCCCAAATCTTCCTCAACAAAAGCTTCCTGCCTCCTGCAGTGGGAGAAAAGGATGAAAGAATGAGAGAGATGTATTAGAGTTGTCTGTATAAACATATCTAAAAGGGAGAGAGAGAGAAAGGGAGAGAGAGAGAGAGAGAGAAGGAGGGAGGGACTTGTGAGAAATGGGTTCCATTCATGTGATTATGTAGGCTAAGAAGTCCCACAGAGTGTTTTCGGCAAGCTCGTGGCCCAGGAAAGCTGGTGGTATAATTTAGTCTGATCCCAAAGACCTGAGGAGCAGGAAAGCTGATGTGTAAATCCCAAACTGAGGACAGAAAAGATAGGGTGAGATGCTTCAGCTCAAACAGTATGAGACAGGAATAAAAGGGGTACATTCTACCTTCCTCTGCTTTTTGTGCTATTTAGGACCTTGGATTGGAAGACAGCCACCCACACTAGGGGAGCAATCAACCAATTCAAATATAATCTTATCCAGAAATGCTCTCAGACACACCCAGAAATAATGTTTAGTCTGAGCACTCCAAGGCTTGTCAAGTTGACACATAAAATTTACCAGCACAAGGGAGAAAAGAGATTAAAACGTAACTATAAAGAATCTCAAAACCTGAAATCCAAATACCATTTTGTTCAGGTCTATTTTGCAATGCTCATGAGCAGTGTAGGGCCCAAATGAACCTCCGAGACTGTTGTATTCAAGCCTGAATATTCACTGCTTTCTATTTCCCATCTTGTCTGACATTAGCAATTCAGGATTGAGATTGCACGATAATATAAAGGTACCTCAGTGAAAATGCTAACAACATGGGACTCGCCCAATTTAAATATAAACTTTCTTGTTATCAATTTTTTTTTTAATTTTGTTTTTAACGTTTATTTATTTTTTTGGGACAGAGAGAGACAGAGCATGGACGGGGGAGGGGCAGAGAGAGAGGGAGACACAGAATCAGAAACAGGGTCCAGGCTCTGAGTCATCAGCCCAGAGCCCGACACGGGGCTCGAACTCACGGACCGCGAGATCGTGACCTGGCTGAAGTCGGACGCTTAACCGACTGCGCCACCCAGGCGCCCCTCTTGTTATCAATTTTTAAAGAAAACATAAAAAATTAAAAAATAGATGTCCTTTAAGTTAGGTTGAAGTTCAAATATATAAAATGAAAAGAGAATTAAGATCAATACCAAATGACCCTTCCGTACGGGTCATAAAGATGTTATTAAGTCCTCCTCAATTCCTTAATCTCATTCTCAGCTAAACACATCTTTATTGCTTGGGTGGAGGAAGGGTTTCCTTCACAGTTGGCCTGGCTGTTTCTCACGAGATTCGGTATATAGTTTCTCCAAAATATATCCATTGGGAATTTTTACTTTGAAGGGGTTGTTCTGTATGGTACCAGGTTGGTCTATACGTGATCTCATGCATTTGTCAAAATCCTTAGAACTGCATACCCCAAAGAATGAACTCTACCGTAGGCAACTTCAAACATCAACCAGAAGGGGGGAGTCCGAGAATGGAATGCGGACTGTGTCAAAGGAGCCTAACCGCATTACAAGTGTTCAGCACAATTTCACCAGCTATAGTGGGGAGAGAAGGAGCTGACCCTTTGTAACTTGGAAAAACAGTGTTTTAGCTAAACATGGTAAGCCTAAAGATGGGAAGAGCTGTGTGTAAACACCTTACTCTAGTTGGTAAATGTGTTTCTCTCCAAGGTACAGGTTAGCAATTCTGAAAACTACTTTCTATGGGACACTACAATACTAAGATTGAACAAATAAGTAAATACACTGCAGTTAATGGGAGCCAGGTCTCTCACTGTCAAGGAAAGACGTTTTCAATAAGCAAGAGGCAAAGTTAGAATAAACCCTGTGGTGCTAGATTAGAGGAGAAGGTGTTAATATTAACGCACATTTATTTTAATAGAGATGGAGGTATGGTACATGTATAGATAAATACATTTTGAAGGTAGGTAGGTAGATATAGATAGATAGGTGTTGACAAATGCTGATATATAGACAGGCAGACAGATGCGTAAGATAATCAGCCATGTGTATATACATGACTTAGTACATATTCCATCGAACATGTAAATCCAAGTACTGCTACCTCTGTCCACCGACAGGGCCTAGAAATGGTGACACCCCAGAAGCAATGAGCCCCACCAGTGTCCACATTTATTCTCAAAATACTGATTTCCCACAAAAGAAATTGGATCTCCTTTCATACATGATTGATTCTGGGGCATCTGATGGTTCCCTGCCAGGTCAGGAAAATCACAAGATGGGGCAGATTGTCTTGTTGTGCCAGATAATAATGAAAGTCTTCAAAGGTAATAAATAGAAGATGGGGTCTGGTCAAAAGGAGCCAACGTGAAAGATCTCCCAACGTTCAAAGGTGGGCGATTTATACAATAAAAGAAATCATGATAGTGTTGTGTTGAATAAAAAAGCATCCTTGAGTTCAGGTTAATTTAAGTAAATGATTAAATAAATGAATAAATGGAAGGCGGGGGATAATATTCTTATAGAAATATTCCAAGTAATAGAGAGGAATAGGAAGAATAGAAAATCATCATTATGGGGAGCCACCTGCATGGCTCATCCGGTTAAGCATCTGACTTCGGTTCAGGTCACGGTCTCACGGTTCGGTGTATGAGTTTGAGCCCCGCATCTGGATCACAGCTGTCAGTGCAGAGCCTGCTTTGGATCCTCTGTCCCCCTCTCCTCTCTGCCCCTTCCCTGCTCACCCTGTCTCTCAAAAATAAATGAACATTAAAAACAAAAAGAAAAGAAACCTCAGTTCAAATTTGGAAATAAAAATAAACCACACTAAGAAAGGAAAATACTTTACGAAATATATTTAATACCACATCTCTTAAGGAGATTCACATCTTATTTTTTAGAGCTAAAAATTACCACAACATTGGCCCTACACTAAAGACAGGGAGAAAATATGTCAACGCCCATTGCTGAAAGCAGGAATCCAAGGACAGATTCTGTTCCCTGAATATTATCCATGGTGCCGTCATCGACCATTGTCATATCTAAACAGCATGAGTTCAGGGTAAGCCCCTCTTCATTTGTTCCTTGACTCTGAATGTAGCTAGTTTAAATACTTACCCGGGTCTAGGTTATAACAAGTTAAGGGTACAACCTAAGAACGATTTGTACTGAATGCAAAGCCCAAAGCACTGCATTTTTAAAGATATAAAATGTTGCTGTACTCATCGACGTCTAAAAAGCTCTAGGCAATATTCCGCCTCAATTTCATCTGCAATATGAAAGCGGGTTGCACTTGTGTGGTTGAAGGTCAAACTACAGCAGCTGTGCTTTAGGGTCACTGCTATTTGGCTAAGGGACCCACAGCTCCATACCCCCACCTGTGTAAAAATAGCCGCTCACATTTGGACAAAGCCGCTATAAAGTGCAGTGACCTGCCAAGGCCAAAAATCACATGCGCCCTAAAATTTCAAAGTCCTGCTGAGCTGCGATGGCTAAAACCCAATAGCAAAAGGGTAAAAATGAATTAGGGGCCTGATATAGGTTGCTGCAAATCACCAAGAGCAAAAGTCCTTGTGGCCTTGCCCTGCCAGAAGCTGTAATCAGCAACTGTTGTTTTCCTTAAAAAATTCTACTCAGTCTTTGCATCAATCTTGGTCCGACTGAGAGACAGAAACCACACAGTGGATAGAACACAAGGTTAACATAAAGAATTATTAAACACCAGTGATGAAAAGTAGTTACAGGATATAAAGAAACTCCATGGCATTCTAGGGCTGAGGGACTGTCTAGATTGCACAAACCTGGAAAAGATGCCACCGCCCAATGCTTGTTAGGGAAGGTGTGTTGAACCCAGCGGTTTAGGGAAATCTGTAGATTTGCCCAGGCTGGAGCTAGACTACAAGTCGCTGAGTGATGCAGAAGTAGCCCTCCAGAGTTCAGGACCTGCCCTCGGGTGACCAGCACCTGATGATGTGGGGGGTGGAGACAGTATGGGGCTGGAAAGGAAACTGGCTGTTTAGTGTGCACAGATATAGCAGTGCAGAAGAAGCCTTCAGGGCACTGGTTTCCAAGTAGAGAAGGCTGCGGGAAAGGTGTCACCGGGCTAGGACAAGGGCTCAAGGGTAGAAGAGCAGTTCTTTCCCCCTTCAATGTCTTTTCTGCACCTTTTACTGAGAAAGCCAATGTTGTGCTCACGTAGAGAAGAAACGCCCATTATGGCAGAACATATATTGGAATAAGTTGATAAGCGGCAGACACTTCTACAGGTTTCCAATCCAGTGTTCCAGCCCAGAACACTACCACTGGGTTGACAGGACATTGAGCAAACTCCTCTGTGGAATCTGTTTATTCTCAAATTAGCTAACATACAGTGCAGTCTTGGCTTCAGGAGTAGATTCCAGTGGTTCATCACTTACATGTAACACCCAGTGCTCATTCCAACAAGTGCCCTCCTTCATGCCCACCCCCCAACAACCCTCAGTTTGTGCTCTGTATTTAAGAGCCTCTTATGGTTTGTCTCTCTGATTTTATCTTATTTTTCCTACCCTTCCCCTAGGGTCATCCGTTAAGTTTCTCAAATTGCACATATGAGTGAAATCATAGATTTGTTTTTCTCTCACTTATTTCACTTAGCCTAATACCTTCCAGTTCCATCCACATTGTTGCAAATGGCAAGACTTCATTCTTTTTCATCACTGAGTAGTATTCCATTGTATATATGTGTGTATATGTGTGTGTGTGTATACACGTGTGTATATATATATGTATATATATGTATATATGTGTGTGTGTGTATATATATATATATACACACACACACACGCACACACATATAGTACATCTTCTTAATCCATAAATCATTTGATGGACATTCGGGCCCTTTCCATAATTTGGCTATTGGTGATGGTGCTGCCATAAACATTGGGGTGCATGTGCCCCCTTTGAATCAGCACTCCTGTATCCTTCGATAAATTCCTAGTATTGCAATTGCTGGGTCCTAGGGCCATTCTAGTCTTAATTTTTGCAGGAACCTCCACA